TTATGCTTTCCTTTATAAATGGTGAAAGTCATATCTTCTACATCGCCCTAATGAATTTGTTTAGGAGGAAGGAGTCATCAGAACATGCCCAATGTTGTGGGATGGGAACTAAATAAAGGGAAGAAGGGTTTGAGATGCATCAGCCTCGCTAAAACTATGGATCCGACGAGGTATGCATAAACATCTACTGCTGTATTCTATGAATAATTTAATGGTCATTATAGGAATCACTGTCATGTTTTACCAGGTTAGCTGTATCAGCTGCTGATTTGAACTTGAAACTAATGAGATGGCGCACATTGCCGTCATTGAATCTAGAAATGTTGGCTTCCACGAGATGTCTCCTTCTGGGAGCAGGTACCCTTGGATGCCAAGTTGCTCGAATGCTTATGGTAAGTGCTCAAGAAAATGGGAAAAAAATAGAAGCAATAATTGTGTAAAAACATTTGAAAGTTCTTATCAGACTTTTTAAATTTTGTAGGCATGGGGTGTCCGAAAAATTACATTGGTTGACAGTGGTAAGGTCTCAATGTCTAATCCAATAAGGCAGTCTCTTTATGCGCTTGATGACTGTTTAAATGGTGGCAAATTTAAGGCCGTTGCAGCAGTTGAAAGTCTCAAGCGAATATTTCCAGCAGTGGTATTGATCCATTATTGAGACCTCAGAATCAAAATAAAATAATTTAAGATATAGAGAAAAGATAAATTCATTTGCCGATGCACCTTAATTTCTTGACAGGAAGCAGAAGGTGTTGTGATGGCTATTCCGATGCCTGGACATCCAGTGTCTAGCCAAGAAGAAAGTAGTATACTTCAGGACTGCAGAGATTTGAGTGATTTGATCAACTCACATGATGCAATCTTTCTATTAACTGATACACGGGAAAGTCGGTGGCTTCCTAGTCTACTTTGTGCTAGTGCTAACAAGGTTTTACTCCTTTACTTTCTCTTGTGAATTTTCCTTTGAAATTTTGTTTACTTTTCCGAAACTAGTATGTTGCATGTGATGTTGAATTCACTAGAGTCAGCTGAATTCTTCCTGATTATTACACGTCTTTTGTTTCTCTCTGCAGATCGCTATTACTGCAGCCTTAGGCTTCGATAGCTTTCTAGTGATGCGTCATGGAGCAGGCCCTTTGGATGCTCTACGAAACTCACAAGCTGAAACTTCGAGTAATGTCTCTGCCAGTATGGAGAATCTCTCCCTTTCGAATCAAAATGAGTCAGTGCGATTGGGATGTTACTTCTGCAATGATGTGGTTGCACCAATTGATGTAAGATTCTTGTGAAAGTGATAGTAATTGTTCGATTTCAATAACTGCATATATGAATCGTTTTTGTTCTGTGTGCAGTCAACGGCTAACCGTACCCTGGACCAACAATGTACAGTTACTCGTCCCGGGCTGGCTCCTATTGCATCAGCCCTTGCTGTTGAACTTTTGGTTGGAGTCTTGCATCATCCTTCTGGGTAAATCCTTAACTATTTTGTGATATACATGCAAATTATGTTGTATCCCGACATTTTAAGCATTTCTTATTTAACTACGTTTGCAGAATATGTGCCAAAGCTGAGTTTGCAAACTCTAATGATAACGGCAGCACTGAACAACCTCTTGGCATTCTACCTCATCAGATTCGGGGCTCCATCTCTCAGTTTTCTCAGATGACACTTGTCGGTCATGCTTCAACTTGTTGCACTGCTTGTTGTAGCACTGTAAGTTAAAATGTTTTAAGGCAATTCCATCCTGAACTATTATTATACTGTACAATTTGACGTCATTTTCTTGCCTGCCCCTCTGCTTAACCCGTAACCTCCGCCTATATTATCAAATATGAAATTGTTCCATAAGATCTTAGTTATTTTGTTGAAACTTTGTATATTGATATGATGATTTCCACCTTATTTATGAGAACCTAGAAATTCAGTTTCCTGTATTAGCGTGATTTAGAAATCCGTGTGACGATGTTCATTAAAAATTCAGATCCAGTTTGAGTCATGTGACCATTCATTCATCTATGGTCCTTGCACTACACAATGTAACATCTTTAACTAACTTCGATTAGATTATGCCTAAGCATTTAAAAAGAGAACACTTAGATTAAGTAATGCCCAACTATGTTGGCGTTTGACTTGGGAGCAACACAAAGTTGTTTCTAGGTGACCTATAAGTCAAGGGTTTGATTCGTGGAATTAGCCACTGATACTTCAATAGGCTGCCTGCACTACACCTCCTTGAGGGTGCAAACCTCCCCCAGAGTCCAGACCCTGCGTGAACTGGGATGTTTTGTGCATCCAACTGCCCTTTTTATGTTGTCGTTGGACTCTTAAAAAGGAGAACTATTTCTTGGGTTATGAAACTGTCCATCTTAAAAGCAAGTAAAATTCTACAACATGAACTGTTTTTCCAGCTAATTTTACAAACTTGACTATCCGAAAGCATCATAACTTGACTAATACACATGAAATTCCTTATATGCTCAGGTTGTATCAGAATATCGAACGAAAGGGATGGACTTCATACTTCAAGCTATCAATCATCCTACATATCTGGAGGATCTAACTGGACTAACAGAACTCATGAAGTCAGCAGGATCTTACACGCTGGACTGGGATAACGATAGTGAAAATGATGACAACGACGATGATGATGATGATTGTGTAGAAATATAACCTTACTGTAACATAACTTACATTCATTCTTTTGCAATCAATTTGATTGATTGTTTGTGTTTCACCTGACCGGATTTTCATTGCCGTATGACAAGTTTACAACTACAGTGATTAGGTACCACAATGTTCTGTTATAAAATATGGCATTCTGTTTTAGTTTTTCTAAGTACTAACAAGTCTGGTGTTTTGGTTATCGCATTATTTTGTTGTTGCTACTGTCTTCTTTCTGTAGTGCTTGTTTTTATCTCTTTTCTTCTGTATCTTCTTTGATTTGCGTTACCTGAGCCAAGTTTTTTCGGAAATAGTCTCTCTATTTTCGGGAAGTAGGGATATTAGAAAATACCCTACATGTATGTATTGTGTATATCTTGGAAATTACCTTACATATTGCATTCATTTGCAATATAATTCAATTTTCCCTCACCTACTTCTGCAATTTATTATTATTGTTAGTATTATTATTCTACAACCAACTACATCAGTGTCAGTATGGCAACTGTATGAAAAGTTTGTTTCTTGAATTAAAGAATTTTTTTTTCTATTTAACATTATATATATTTGGTCAATAATGACCACCAATGATATTACTATTTTTTTCTCTCTCAATTAAATACTTTTTCATTAAAAAATACAAGGAGAATACAACTTGTGAATTCGAATAAAAGAGGAGGATTGTGATAGATCGATAATAACTCATTTGTTTAGTAAAAGGCTACTTTTAGTAGAAGTGGTAAAATTATATCAAATATTTTGACTGAAATAACTATGTACATTATTTTTTTATTCACTCGTGATCTGATGATATATATATATATATATATATAACTTGTGTCTATTATCCCCCCAAAGCGTCTACTATTTCTTTTCTTTTATTATTATTATTAAATAATATAATAACTTGTGTATATAACAACATTGAATTTGAAATAGACGTAATGCAATTTGTTTAAGACTTTTCATGTTCACACTTTAGAGTACTATTAACTAAGGTTTTGACTTTATTAATTTGTTAAAGTCAATTTATTTTTTATTTATAAATCAAAGTCTTTTATGAAAACGAAATCACTCAATTATCAAAAGAAATATTGACCAAGCAACAATGTCTTTTGCCATCCGAGACGGATTTAACCTTTTGGCTACGAATTCATCTAAATACGAAATATAAATATATAAGAATCTTAAAATTAGAACTCATCAAATTTAAATCTTGAATCCATATATATATATATATATATATATATATATGTGTGTGTGTGTTCTTCATTCTCTGAAAGTAGAAGCGTCAAATTGGCGAGTCAAGCTATTTTGAAATGAATTAAAATGTGTCAAAGCAATAAACTAGTTGAGTCATAATCTGCTTATTATTATTGATGAGTCATATTTTCATCATTTCATGAGCTAGAAAATAACATTTACTAATCACTTTTTGATTCCCAAGTCTTTAATAAAAATAACTATTACCCTTTAATTCTCAACTTTGTGGAAGCTAAAACTTCGAGATACTGATTTTTTTTTAATAATTATTATAAATGTAAAAATTGATTTATTTATTTATTCGAGTTTTGCACCCTGTCTCATAAATGTTTCCTCAAATATTATATTAAAAGTGTGTACGCATAATGTATTGGGTAGGTGTGTAAGCTTTGGACAGATCAAATACAGCTCAAAGACAGACAAGTATTTTTTAGAATCATATTATATTGTTCGACTTGATACGTCTCATAATTTTTTTTTAATTAGAAATATATTTTGAAATTTTAAATTTATGTAGTTATTTAATATTAAAGATAGTATAGAAAAACAAAATAGAACAAATAAAAATGAAACATCTAATTATAGTATAATCGTCAGGTAAAATAAAAGAAAGGAAGTATATGATTTCGGCCTAATTCAATAACTTTTGATATGTGCTAAGAAAACCACACAAAATATACATGAATATAAAAATCCAAGCTCGGACATTAGTACTTGAGATCTTTATTCAGTGATTCTGAATCTATAAAGTTTAAATCGTGAATATTCTGATACTAAATACTTGTAAGAAGCCAAGAAAATAACTACATAAATTAGTTTTTTTTTGTTTATTCATATGCTTGTTTGCTTCATCACACTAAATATATTTATCCCTAGATAAAATCCCAATGCACTATATATGTACATTAAAAGGAAAAAAGAAAAACTCTCAAACTACCAAAATAACAAGAAATCAGCTACAAACTTCGTCGTTGCTAATAAAAAATAGTTCGTAGCTAATAAGATTTTTTTTTATGATAACCCTATTTTGGATTTTTGTTGTTTAACGACAGAAGTTGTCCGTCACTATTTTTTATCAAGGATAAGAAGAAAGCAAATGAGGAGGTATACAAGAAGAATCCCTCCAAACCCTAGAATGTAACCTTAGAATTTCCTTAGTTTTCTCTTTAGTCTTTGGACTAACATCCACTTGAAGAACCAAACACAACTTTGACACAACTCCCACTTGCAACATCTCTTGAAGAACTTTAGTACTATAACAAGTTGCTAAGAATTTTGAAATTGAATAAAGGATCCTCACTCCCCTATCACTTGCCAAATGTGAAACCCTAAGAATTTTCTTAGAAACAATGGCTATTCCTCCACCATGTCTCAACAACTCCGACCTCCCATTAGCACATGTACACAGATGATCCAGAGCCGTTAGTATCAATTCGCAAACCCTTCTTTCATTTGTGTCAAGAAGAAGTTCAATTAGGGCAAACACAGCTCCATTTTCAACCGCTTTTATTTTATTTCTTCCCCATGGACATAACTCAACTAGGAGCTTAAGTGCTACTTTTGTTGCTTGTTGAGAGATTTTGTCATTTAATATACAAACTATACCCTTGATATACACTGGTTGTATACCAATTAATTGAGCTGGATCAGCCACATTTAGGGTTGATCTCAATAGGTTTATCGCGTTGGTACGCGATTGAACATGACCATTATTCAAGAATTGAAGTAAAGAATCCAAGAAATGCTTATCATTTTGCGAGTTGATTAACTTTTTCAACTCAGTATCAGAAGGGTTTAGATGAAAAAGAATATTCAAAGCCTCAGCGCTCGCCTCTGATACCTCTGATTCTTCTTTTTTCTTCATCATAATCGAGGTCAAGAAATCAATTACCCCAGCTGACTCTAGACACATTTTATTACTCTCACTTACACACGCTATTGATTTGATCCTCCTAAGGCAATTAAACTCCATATTCGGATATTTTTGTGCTTCGTTCAATATTCTCACAACGTGAGCTTTTTGAACCTGAGGCTTCGGGGTTGGCATCCTTTGGATACCATTTGAAGAATTCAACATGCACCACGATTGGATCAAACGTCGTAGATTATGATTTGGAGTAAGATCTTTGAATTTTAGGTCTTGATTTGTGACAGGACAAGTTGTGTGTTTGCATGAGAATAACCATTTTTCTATATTTTGTCTATCATATGTTATTCCAGTTGATATCGTAACTGGATCCCTCATAACTTCCATTGAGATTGGACATAGAAAATAAGAAGGAATATCAATTTCCTCCATATTTTCCACTATACAATATGAAAAATTTGAAGGAAAAAAAGAAGAAGAAAGGATTTGTATATATTGAAGATGGAAATGAAATTATTGGTTTTTATATATATAATATGTTTGTGAATGTGAAGAAGTATATAGTAATTAATAAGGGACCATGTTTAGATGCAAGTTGATTATTAAATTATTAGAAAGTCAACAAAAGAAAATTCATAAGAGAGAGAGACAAGGAGAAAGGGGCTCTTAATAGACTTTTTCAATATTTTGGAAAAATAAAATTGAATTATATAATATATTTTGCAGACTTTTTGGTCAACAAAGATAAAATTATGTTAAACACAACGTATACATTTTCTTCCATTCAATTCGTAAGTGATCGTATCGAAAAGAATGTGTAATAATTATTTTTTAATATTTTTTTTCATTCAATGTCCAGAGTTCATATTGGAGCTATGACTAAATTCATATCGCGTACTACAGGACCTACTCAAAGATAATGCTCCCAACAAGATTTCTTCATACCCTAAGCTCGAACATGATACCTCTGAACTAATTTTTAACTTTATTTCAATTTATATGACAGTTCTTTTAAATTTTTTATAATTATTTGAAGTTTCTCATTTCTCAAAATAAAAATCTTGAACGATGCCTCGATATGATTCAAATTCCACCTATATTTATTTTTTAGATTTACATCAAGTATTTTTCTCTTTTATTATTCGTTGATAGATCTAACACTGATCGACACAATATTATTAGCCTTTCACTCTTTATAAATAATCTAGAACAATGATAATGGTCATAAAATGACAATTTAGCCTTTCCTCATGAAAGTTTAGTATCGCAACAGCAAATTCGATCAAAGTTGAAATATTTTTCAGACCCTTATCCCACATAGTTATAGAACGGAAAATGAAGGTCTATAATTGTCTTTTCTGAGACATAAAATAAAATTAAAACGATACAAAAAACGTCTCGAACTTATAAAATTATTTTTTATGGCATTGAATAGCACATAGGAGGGGACGTCGGTGTTGCGTTGTGTAGATAATGTCCACATTTTGACCTTTTAGTACAATCTTTAATTTATTGTACCAAATTAATAATTTACAATATACTTTGTAAAAGTACATTTTCTAATATATTTTTCTTTTAATGTAACAACGTGAACACATGCTGGATACCGACAGAAATCAATGTGCCAATGTGGGGTTCTTCCGTATTTTAAGGTTAAAAAAATATTTACTTGCCGATGGTTTGATAGTTAGTTAGAATTATTTATATATTAATAATGTAGTTATTAGTTATATACGTATATTTAGTTTTGGCGATAAATCTCCTTATGTCCCTCTAGTTCCACCCGGGATTGGGGTCGCTAGAATGAGGGTATGTACATAAGTACTAAGACACTCATTCACATTGAACAAGAATGAATGAATAAGAGGACGCTCATAAAATTAAGATGTAAAAAGAATTCAAAAGTCTCGTTACAGTTGAAGAATGAGTGTGTTGTTAAGCCATCACAGAAATAAGATAGAAGCGCCCACAAAACAAAAAAATAAAACTTTAACTTATGATAACTTTTTCGTAGATGTTTACTTGCATTACATATACAAATTATATTCTCTGAGTCTTGTAACTTAATATCTTTAACTAAATAATTTGTTGAACATTGAGTGGTAAAAATAATTAGAGATTGGTATGATTTAATTCAACTTTTGTTCATTCAGATTTAATTATGATGTGCTATTATTCGAATGTTGTCTATCATTAAATAATTAAATTGTTGATATTGACCTAAAAAAAAACTTATAGATACAACTAGTTCGTGATCAACTAATCATTGTACTAAGAAATTCGAATATGTTATATTTGATTGATTATTTTTTCTAAGATGATTTACTAAATTTATCGAGTTATTTTAAAGATCAAAACGATCAATTATTAATGAAATCTTCGAGAACCTACCTTATATGTGATTGTTGTGAAAATTTTGATTCCAAATCAAACTATTTCTTTACTTACCTCATGAAATTGGGCCTCTCTCATAATTGCAAAATTGATATAAAGTTTATTATTTTTTAGGGATAAGGGTCTGAAAAATATCTCAACTTTGATCGAACTTGCTGTTGCGATACTAAACTTTCATGAGGACCTATTACCTCCCTAGACTATTTAATACCGTATTTTAAACATATATATTTGCCTAAGTGGACATAAAAAATAATGCAAAATTATAAATAGTAATGTGTCCACGTGGGCACGTATGTACCTTTTTAAATACACTATTAAATAGTTCAGGGGGTAAAAAATACGGTATTAAATAGTCTAGGGGGGTAATAGGTCCTTATGAAAGTTTAGTATTGCAACATCAAATCCAACCAAAGTTAGGGTATTTTTCAGACCCTTATTCCTATATTTTACCATTCTAAACTATATATAGGTTTCTTGATTTGGTCCATAACAAAGTTAATGGTTCCACCTATCCAAATTAATTTTGATGGTCCAAAGAATTGGCATTTATATATAGAGAAAGTTTCCTTCTTAATTCTTTCATTAATTTTTTAAATATTTAATTTCTTGCTTAACTTATTGAAATTTTTTATTAAGTAACGGTCAAGTAATTAGTAAAACTTCAAGATTAAGTTTGGTGTTTTCCAAAGAATTAATGAGATAAGTAAGTTATGTTAGAAGTATTCTCATGGGATATTAATCAAGTCAAAATACAAACCCTAGGTTAGAAATAAATAAATAAAAATTAGTAGCTTGTTTGAAGGGGCACCTTTGATAAACTACTCATTAAACACAAACCCTGAATTGTAAATAAAGTCAAAACGCAATTTCCAGAACTTACATAAATATCACTAGTTTAGGAACTAATTATTTAGATATACTATAATTTGCAATATTACGTATTTTACCAGATACATGAGGTCAAATTAGGTGCAATTTGTTCTAGATATATTGTATCAAAATGGATTCGCATGTATTTGGGATACATAATAAATCTTGATTGTCTCCCTCATTTCTCTCCCATCTCGCTGGCCACTCCCCCCCCCCCCCCCCCCCCGATACACGTGAATCACTTCAGATACATACAAATACATGTATCTAGTAGCAAAAATACATGTATCTAAGTGTATTTTTTTCAAAATATATGGTAAGATACATAATATTTTGAAAGTATAGGTAATGATAGTATATATGGCAGTGGACTATGTCTAATTATGTCGTTTTCCTTTCCTTTAACCATCTAATTTTCGGTGCTTACTACTTAATTTGAATTAACGCCGCATAAGACTTAGTTAAGAAATAAGCGCTCGATCTCTATAAAAAATTCACCGTTCCTAAGGTTAGGACCCAAGACCTTTGGTTAATCATTCACACCTATGAGAGGGGACAACTTATTTGACTTGAACTTTTTTCGTTTTCTACCTGATGTGCGATACCGATTTTGGGACGTGACCAATTCAAATTTGCACTAGGAATGTCCACTTAATTAAAGAGGTAAAATACTCTTTATAAACCAGTGTTCAAACTCGAGACCTCCTAATGGAACAAAACCTATTAATTCATGTACTACAATACAATGTAGTAGTTGACATTGAGAAATTTACAAAATTCTTGGTTGTAGTTGGAGGAGTAATAGAAAGGACATTTGAATTTTCCAGAAAGTCTTTTGCAATTACTAAATTACATATTTAGTCATTTAAGTTGCTGTAAAATAGGGTAGCATATCACAAAAGTCTCACCACAAATTGGTACATAGTTATTTTGTAGGGAAGAATATTAGCACAACATTGATTAGACAATCAAATCAAGTTTGACTTACTCCACTCACGAAACACAGAATTTCTGACAGACGTTCTTGTCAAAATACAATCAGAAATATGAAATTTTCAATAAAAAAATAATCGAATTAGTTTTTTTTTAGTAGTGCTCCTATAATCTATAACATTTACAAATTTGAATAATTAAATTCATTTAATTATCTAATTAAAAATCTAATAGATTTTTTTTATCTATCGACTTAACTTTTTAATAATTTTTTTTATATCTTTAATCAAGAGGAATATAATACAAAAATCAATTTAATATTATAAAATGCTGTGTGTGTCAAATAATGTCGCATAAAATTCAAGTTCAAATTAGTCTTTGACTACACAATTTCAAAATTCAATTATAATTTCTACTCAAACACCAAGATTAATTTTTGAATACAAGTCAAATGGATTGAAACAAGCAACTCTAACTCAAATCAGTGGGGCTATTATTTTATTTTTGAATTTTCTGAATTTGAAAATTAATTTATTGAAAAGCTCCATTGACAACCGTAAAAAATGTTTTGAAGATTAAAGTTCAAGTGATTTTTTTTCTTCAAAAATATTATTTATCTGAATTGAGGATTGTAACAAACAATTGGGAATATTTTTGGAGTTTATATCTCAATTCTAAGAGAGTTCGCTGAAGATTAGAGTTGGTTTTAATTTTAATTTTAAATTTCAACCAAATACATACGAACAACATACAAATGACATAATGACATACACAAACATATCAAATACATATAAACAGCATACAAAATGTATCTAACGAATAATATAATTGTATCATGTAGGTAAGTTGTATATATCATTCGAATGTGTATACAATAAACTTTTTGTATGTAAGTAGTTGTTTTGATCGAATTTGTATATAATAATAAAATTGTATACAAGTTAACTTGATTCTACGCAGCATAAAATTGTAAAGAAATTAAAGGTAAGTTGTATATTTTGTAAAACATAGTGATATTATGTTTTTTAAAAAAAAATAAAAGATATAAGATTTATGCATTTGTGTATCTAATTAAAAATCTTAGCAGTAAACATTCTCAATAGAGATGATGACATGCTCCATTATTTCAGTTTATATAAATATCTTTTACTATAAAAAAAAAACACCTAATTTACTTATTTACGTACAACATGTAAGTGTTGATTTCTCGATACGTACGACATACACTTGATATATCTTTCACAGACTGTTGACCTCACATACAA